GGGGGGCGCTAGTAGGGCTGGTTGGTGGGACAGTGGAAGCCCTGGGGGACAAGAGTTCAGGTTACATCAAAGCCCCAAATCCTGGAGGCCGGGAACAGAGCTGCTTACCTCCAAGAGCTGTGGCTGAATTTATTTTTTAGAGACAGAGGGGAGGGGTTTCTGGGGCGAGGGAATGACACCACTCAGACGTGGGCTAGCCCCCGCGGTGTGTTTTTGCTATATCAAAGTCTTTTCTGCCAGGTTTTCTGCCCGTTTTTTTCAAAGCACCTACTGAATTTAATATTACAGCTGTGTGTTTGTCAGGTTTATTCAATAGGGGCCTTGTAATCCGATCTGAATGTTTCCTAGCGGATGTTTCTTTTCCAAAGTAAATCTGAGTTATTAATCCACCAGCATCATTACTGTGTTGGAATTTATTTTCCCCTCTGTAACATGATCAACAAGGCATGCTCTGTGTTTCCAAGATCGCTGGGGAAATGTTTAGTAACATACTCGAAAGTGGAAGAAGAGGGAGAGGGTAGTTGTGTGCCTGTTTCCTCCCGCCTCTGCTCTGTTGGCCCCCCTTTTTCTTTATAACCACTTGTAAAGAAAACTGTGTACACAAAGCCAAGAGAGCTTTAAAAGGGGAGTCTGATGGTGGTGGAGTAAAGAGTTGACACATGGAAATTATTAGACATATAAAGGAGGTTGGGAGATCCTTTCTGTCTTTGGTGCTCGCTGCATGCTAGCTAAGTTTTGCTGGTTTGCTAGCTGCCCGTGTATCTGCTCCTTCAAATGAAAAGGTATGCTTCTTTCCCCAAATAGGCTTCCACTATGGAAGCAGAATTCACCACTCATCACCCAGTGCTTCTTGACTGAAGCTATTTCTTGACTTTTTTAACTCTCAAAAAAGTTAATGTGCTTTTTTTTTTCCCCCTTTTCCCTTTTTTCTTTTCCTCCTCAACGGTGCCTAGAACATTTGGAGAACATCCCAGGGACCAGCGAAAACTCTGCTTTTCGTTTCCTCTTTAACCTCAGCAGCATCCCAGAGAACGAGGTGGTCTCTTCCGCAGAGCTTCGACTCTTCCGGGAGCAGGTGAACCAGGGCCCCGATTGGGAGCAGGGCTTTCACCGAATAAACATTTATGAGGTTATGAAGCCCCCGGCAGAAGTGGTGCCTGGGCACCTCATCACACGACTACTGGACACGAGACTGGTCCACCACAATGTGACACGGTGGGAAACTTTTGATGTGAGCCCTGCGGTCCTTCGCTGGACCCGGGAGAAACAGCCGAACTATGGGCTGGCCATTGAGGTGACTCACCTCCATCAGACACGGACCCACCAGGGCCAGCATGTCAGGATTAGCCGATCGTTACCTCAAGGGAGTGGGGATTGGGCCCAGCTCCGGCCCCTCCTGGTCACTTTTGGCCATGATGGCCGAGGACACGCCTTGACCCGACGCCAGAGGGCCAAACGTAGCCCCAAGCATCACCCACAGCGGGCCCGGAAGAAGAATAAGAACTGCCGTCGCCACTCGCTCTACGTGGACTTCAGCGATGTGGGCTGGAATGATTGGATTGTGGCCCCACCAGGCTACCAGGCCTTCTACTGCCACGGGGACTGCCCCTTTCCACTGGCCGACCACCTCAATTCCACCAACCATGCCATTGTGCAGACCCTGGTCAACTCTGTCAACTCCAGTATCCCCAAAGCCTGTTGTGTTCCCACTGAATTGAGCGCCATCTCCATGCTGTACCTGGATGAGTATGACAAGGTGGTACTGAAAAATTATCAAGAGATGGTAGTAGAGGGATGTGGGTGCCGCTGACGTCAGGCAGTCTTCGGGGACACACAAGTTCCCATCCACTCACCCACACACTACACAGACTGCTTCCTTATAGCTGGACTTTTATCTTTAAAAAGAAAAAAAAAAAAAGGAAAAAAAAAAAAAACCTAAACATTCACCTTGACCTTATTTATGACTTTACGTGCAAATGTTTTGACCATATTGATCATATATTTTGACAAAATATATTTATAACTACATATTAAAAGAAAAAATAAAATGAGTCATTATTTTAAAGGTAAACTGTTCCTTTTCTCTTTAATCCGTTCTCTTTTCCTTCTGCCCCATCTCTTTTGAAAGAGATTTATGTGCCACCCCCGCCCCCCTCCAACCCCCCTGTTAAGGAGGGGCTGGGGGCAGGATGGAAGTCAGAGGGTGGTAACTAGAGGTGGTGAAGTTGGAGGGACAGGAAGTAAACTGATGGTAGAGAGATGGTAATTGCCAGGATGAATTGTTTTCCATTTCTATTTAATGTTAACAAGGACGCAGCATCCTCTCCCATCTGGATGACACATGCCTTGGAGAAACAGTGGGATGAAAGGAGTAGGCCAGATTAAAGACTCAGATTTGGGCTCCTTGTACATCTTCTGTTTTTGCTCACCTGTGAGAGGTGCGTCCCAGCTGAGTGTGATGGATAGAGTCTCAACTCTAAGGAATGATTCCCACTGCAGTTTTATGGTAGCTAGGGTGTTTCCATTTATTATAGGCACCGATGATGTATTTTCAAACCAAAACTAATTTGTACATTCACATATTAATGTGTATGTGTGTGTGTGCGTTTGTTTTGACAGGCTTTGGGGTGGGGTGGGGGGGGGTGAAGTGGGTTTTATTGAATAGAACAAAAA